TGTACAGCCTGGCTTGGCCACTCTGGTGAATGATGCCAGGTCTTTGACTTCTTACCAAGGTCTGGCCTGCCAGTGTATAGCTTTTCATAGAGAAAGGTGTGGTCTCGGAAGCTCTGCAGCGTGTTCCCCATGGCTATGATGGACACCATAACCAGCCAGCTTCGTAATACATTCAGGAAACGGCCCATGACTCTCCTCAACTCAGGGAGGGCTTTCTGCCTTAGAAACAAAAGCAGAGGACGTGAGACAATGGGGGTCAGTTGACTTCAATCAGTGAGCTCAGCTAATCAGTCACTTAATAAACTCCTCTCCAAGCTTCTTAGGCTTATCCACCTCAAGTTTCTAGACCCAGATACTCTTACTTCCCAGGGCCAGCATGCTGCCTTGGGATATTTATCCTAAGCCAGAGTGTGCTGACCTTCACCCTGAGTGATAAGGGCTAAGTAATGAACCAAAAAAACCAAACCCACTGCCATCGAGTTGATTCTGACTCATAGTGACCCCCATTATGTTTCCGAGGTGATAATTATTTATGGAAGTAGATTGCCCCATCTTCCTTCCATGGAGTGGCTGGTGGGTTTGAACCTCCAACCTTCTGGTTAGTAGTCAAATGCCTTAGGCACTATGCCATCAAAGCTTCTTAAGTAACAAAGTGGATAGAAATGACAAACTCAAGGGAAAAAACTGGGGAGAGGAAAGAGGAAAGGAAAAAAGGAGGTGAGTAAGTATCCCTATAAAGTCCTAAGATGGTTTTCTGTGTAAAGCTTGTAGAAATTGGTCTCCATATTTAGTCATACAAATGGTGAAGAATGAACAGTAAAACCTGCAACAAGTGCTGTAGTACCTATCTCTGGCTAGAATCAGGCCTCCCATACATTTACTCTTAGGCTGGTTTTTCACACCATTCCTTTGTAATGCAAGTGGCTCAAAGGTGATTATAAATCTATTTAGAGATACCTGCCTGAATACTGATGACAGATCCTTCCAAGCCTATACATCACAAGAGTGGAAGCTATGATTGTTGTTGTTATGTGCCGTCCAGTCGGACCCGACTCATAGCGACCTCTCCTTGGGTTTCCAAGGCAGTATCACTACAGAAGTAGATTGCCCAACCTTCCTTCTGGGAAGCTATGGTAGTTCAATATTTGCATCCTGAGGTTTTCCTCTTCTCTGGTTCCCAGGCACACCATGCTCCCTAAACTACAATAGTCTAAAAGTTAAAAACAAAGAAACTGCTGCTCGGAACTAAAGAAAAAGTTTTATATAGAAGGAACCAGCAGTCTTGATGTTGGGTTGCAAGAGATATAATAGCTAACTGTTATTAGACACTTGCTATGTGCCATATGGAGCTCTGGTGGCATAGTGCCTAAGGCATTTGACTGCTAACCAGAAAGTTGGTGGTTCAAACCCACCAGCCACTCCAAGGAAGGAAGACTGGGCAATCTACTTCTGTAAAGATTTGCCACCTCAGAAACCCAAAGGGGGTTGCTATGAGTCAGAATCAACTTGATGGCAGTGAGATGTTTTTGTTTGATGTGCCATACACTGTGCCAATCACCTCACATATGCTATCTCATATAGTCCTTACAACAAGGTAGGGATGCATTACTATTATTTCCATTTTAGATGACAGTTGGCCCAGATAGGTTAAGTGATTTGCCTGAGGTCACACAGCAAATATATGAGTGAGCTATTGTGTTGCAGTGAACTACTTGGTATGGCTCCTCTAGCCATGGTCTTTGTGCCTCCCAACAGATGACTGGGTGGAACTATGTAAATGTAAGGTGCTTATGGCCCATCAGGGAGATTGGAGAGCTTGCTAGTAATGTAAATAAGGTACGAATCCCCTTTGTGGGGGTGGGACTGTGCAAATAAGGTGTATGGAACCATAATGTGAGGACAAGTCAGTTTTGCCATCTCACTAGGCTTAAAATGAGCCATCCCAGCGGTGGAAAAGGGGGATCTCACTGCCATCAAGAGAAGCTGGGAGTAGAGTGCATTCTTGGACCCGAGATCCTTGCACTGAGATGACAACAGAGAGATGGTGGCATCAGTGGCAGCAAAAGTGAAAGACTGGCATGAGAAAAAGTGGTGGGCTTGCTGGCCCACAGAGTGAGAAAGCTGAGTGCCTTTGGGCAGAAGGCTTGCTGGTGGAGTGGGGTGTAGTCATTGGCAGAACTAAAAAAGCTCTGTAACATTTGCCTGAGCTGGGTGGGCAGAGGCCAGGCCAAGAAGCCAACGTCCAAAGAAAGGCTGCCTGTGGGCATGGCCTGGGGAAGGCTGTCCTGATCAAAGAGTTGTATCCTGAGCACTCTCAAACTGCATTGTAACTTGTTGCTCCCTAATAAACCCCACAACCACCAGCACTGTCTGTGACTTCTGTGTGGCCACTGCAATGAATTATCAAACTCCGCAGAGAAGTAGTGAGCACTGTGGGAGGGACGGTTGGTGTCTGAATTGGTTTTTTAAAAAAGGCTGAAGGGTGGTGGCATGTCTGACCTCCCTTTCAAAGGCATCAGCCTTGGGCTGATGGTGGTAGTAGTGGTTCTCTCCCCCTTGTGAAATTAGAGGAGGTCAGAGGATGCCGCCCTGTACCCTTTATGTAATTGTAGTTTGTCAGACTTGACTTTGCAATACTGCCTCACTGTTGGAGGATATTTTGATCAAGTTCCCCATTTTTGATGAAGACAAGCATACCATATCCATATAGATCTACAGGCTGTGTAGAAAATACAACTAGGTTATATACTTCTTCTTTTTTTTTTTTTTTTTAACTTATATCGATCATTGCTGAGTAGTGATTTCAGTTACCTTGACTTAACTTTTCATGACCTAATTATTTTTTGCTTTGAATTTTTTTGTTGATTGTTGACACTAAGTTTTCAGTAATGGAAGCAATGCTGAAATCAAGAGGAAAAATAAATTTTTGAGGTAATATGTGTTTTCATACAATTATGTGGGATACATATGTCCCAAGTGGCCAATGGTAGTAGGATAGGTGGGGTGAGGCCTGTTTCTTCAGATTTACATGGTTATACGGATCTCTACCAGGCAGTAGTACATACTACAAATGGGAGAGCAGTTTCCCAAGAAACCTGACAGGCTGAAAATGGTGGTGGGTGATAGATATCCCATGGGTCACAGAGGGTAAAATGCAACTCATGTGGATGAAGAATCTAATAATGAAATTGTCACTTCCATTTTCATGTTTTTTTTGGCCCAAGGCTTAACTGTTGACAGGTTAAGTTCTTGGGCCTGAAGTGGTAATAAACTAGGCTTCCTTTTGTCACTCTGGCAATAGAAGTTTCAGCAAGGTCTTATAGTACCCAGCTGAGACAGATACAAAAGTCAGCAGTGGTCCAAGACAGTGTGAAAAACCAAAAAAGAGAGCTCTAGAGTAGCTATAAGGCCCTCTGGTGGCATAGCGTGTAAGGCATTTGACTGCTAACCAGAGGTTGGTGGTTCAAACCCACCAGCCATTCTGCAGAGAGAAGACAGGGCAATCTACTTCCATTAAGATTTACTGCCTCAGAAACCCAATGAGGGTTGCTATGAATCAGAAATGACTCAATGGAAGTGGGTTTGATTTTGGTTAGAGTAGCTCTCTGACCCTCAGGGAAAGGTGAATTGTAAAGGTGGACTCTGTCCAAGTCCAGAGAGAATAGGGCTCAACTGGTGACATCTAGCTGCTAACCAGAAGGTGGGTGGTTCAAACCCACCAGCCACTCTGCAGGAGGGAGACGTTCAATCTACTCCCATTAAGATTTATGGCCTTGGAAACCCATTGGGGGTCGCTATGAGACAGAATCGACTGGATGGCAGTGGGTTTGGTTTGGGTTGGGACATTATAGGCACTTACAGCCTGGGCCAAGATCTCCCATCCTCATTTTCCCTTCTCCCTCAGGAGACCCAGGTTCTCTCCTCCCAGGGTTGGGAAATAACCTCCCTTATCAGCAGAACTAGAGCATTCATTTCACAAAAGCTCTAAGAAATCCTGACAAATACTGGCTGATGAGGGCAAAGCCTGGGCACATTTCTCAACCATTCAAGCCAATGTCCCTAATGCTTTAGAGCCCCCTAACTACCCAACCAAATTTTGCCTAGCCCCAGCAAAGGTATGGTGTTAAAACTTAGATTTTGGAGAGAGGAGTTCCTATCTTGGTCCCACCCTTTAGTAGCTGTATGACCCTGGGTGAATCGTTCACACTTTTTTCTCACCCGCACAACGGAGAGACAAAGATCTACCTCAAGAGTTATGAGAATTACTTGAGAGAGCGAAGGCCCCTTGCACAACAGTGCTAAGCTCACAGTAGTCGTTCATCCGTTCATCTATTCATTCGTTCTCCGAAGCTACCAAGCCTTCTCCATTCTCGTAGCTCTCCCTTCTCGCGTCCCTGGCAGTCTTTTCCTCCCCAAAAGGTTGCCTCCCAGGTATCTTTCTTCCACGCCCCCACCCCAATTTTTCCAGACTCTCCGGATCCTTTCAAACAGATGCCACACAAACACCTACATCTTTATCCTCCTTCTTCTCACCCATATATCATTACCTGGAGACCGGACGCCCAGCACAGCAACAACAGCAGCAGTAGCAGCAGCACAGGTGCTCCGAGACAACTCCAAACCAGAGTCCGAAGCCATTTGTTCCCGCCCCCGCCCTCAGTCTGGCTCCAGGATTGGGTCATTTCCATTAGTCCTCACTTTGATTGGCTGTACCAGCTTTGCTCCGAGCAGGAGATGGGGAGTGAACCCCTTTACTGCCAATCAGCGGTTGCCGCTGTCCAAACCTCACTGCAGGTACGCCACTCACGCAGTGAGTTCTCCTGTTGAGAGTGGCATAAGGACTCTGGGTCTAGAGCCAATCCTGTAGAGGCGGAGGAAAAAAGCGGAAAAAAAGGAGTAAACTCTCCTGCACTGCTGAGGGCAGGGCTTTACCCGCGCTAAGTGGCGGTGACGGCATTTGACTGCGACCGAATCCCAGCGTTGTCCGCGCCGGGTGGCGGGCGCCTGCGCAGTGGCTCCGAGCGGGCGGTTGCCTGTTGGTTGTTGTAGTAACCGGGGAAGCAGCCGTCTGCGGCTGCTGTGAGCCCGGCAGGGGAAGGAGAAGGAAGGTAGGCGCAGAGCGCGATCCCCGCCTGCCTGCCCCGGGCCATGGGAAGATGAGCCAGGTAAACGCCTGCGCCGGCGCGCTCCTCTACCCAAGGGAAGTGCGCTCCCGGGTCTTGGCGGGCGCCCTCGGCTGCACTTCCCTCCCACAGCACGGGAGCAGCTGCTGGCTTCCGGGCGCGCCAGGCTGAATCGCTGCGGCGGAGTCACCCCTTCCCTTCTGGGGGGAGCACCTGCGGACTTTTCCTGGGATTGGGGTGAGCCAGATTGGTATTGAGGGGCTGATTCTTATCGGGCGAGGACGTTCCTCAGGCGAATGTCCTTAATCTTCTTCAGATAGCCTTGCTGGTAAGGAAAGATTGGCATCCCATCCTCGCTTGGAGGTTTTGTTTTAACTTAAAAAGCACTACTCAGCATCTTGGGAAAGATGGAGAAAACCCCTCGGGAATTGTCCCAGGAACGCTTTTGGGGTTGTTCTATAGTACCCATTCCCCTGACGATCTGTAGGGTGTGTTGTCGGGGTCGGTGGGTTTATTTTCCTATTTACAATCTTTTGGCATACACGACTGCAGAGAAAAAAAAGGTTTGGCAAGGTTGACATCAAGTGGTTATCTCTGGGAAATGAGATATGGTCATTTAAACATTTTTGTTTTCTTTATCTCGAGTTTTTTTTTCCTTCCTCCAGTCCCCAATATCCCTCTCCCCCAACAACGCACATGTAATACTTTTTTCCCTATGGAAAAATATTTTAAAAATGAAGTATTGGAAATATCCTTATTTTAATATATATTTGAGACTTAGCTTAAAGTTTGTGATTTTTAGTAAGGGAGAATAATTTTTTTAAGAGTGGAAGAGCAATGTCCCCCCTGCCCCCCCAGCTATTTATATGACTCTTGATTGAATATGACTCTTGAGGAGAATATGTTAATCTTTTGGTTCAGTTGCTGAATTTGTTTTACTGGAAACATGAGGGCAGTTTGTTTGTGTGCCTGTCACATAGTCTAAGGAAATATTTGTAAGGATCTTAAACCTTAAGCTTTTGCTTTTATTTTTAACCACAGGCAGATGGTATATTAAAGATTTAATACATAAAACCCAAGTAAAAACTCAAATTTAATAACAGCTTTTCAAATACATAGAGCCCAGATAGTATGTTGGAAAACGTCTTGATTTTTGTGGCATGTGGGAGGCATTGTGTTAGAAGGTAAGCTTCTAAAGGTTGAGCACCATTTAGGTATAGATTCATTTTTATACTTGGAAGATAGTCAGCAGTAATCAATAACTCTGGTAGCATAGTGCCTAAGGCACTTGACTGCTAACCAGAAGGCTGGCGGTTCAAATCCACCAGCCACTCCTTGGAAGGAAGACAGGGCAATCTACTTCCGTAGTGATACTGCCTCGGAAACCCAAGGAGGGGTCGCTATGAGTTGGGTCCAACTCGAGGGCACATACCGACAACAACAACAATCAATAACTAGACAACTGCATTATGCTTTAGGTCAGTTAACTTTCTTGCAGGAATCTGTGCCACCCAAATTGTTTGATCCAGTGAATCTGCAAGGAAAGGTCTCTGAGGCCCTGTCTGTTGACTGTATGACAAACCCCAAAGGAAATGCCAGTCGTGATGGCTCGGGACCTGGAAGAAACAGCATCATCCTCAGAGGATGAGGACGTGGTAAACCACGAGTAAGTAACAACAAGCTTGCTTTTGGCCCTTTGTTTGCCTTTAGAATGGAAAATAGTTTTTTTTTACTTGAATACTTGTCTATGCAGTATTTTTCCTTTGGTATTGTTTGACTCGAAGGAGCTTTGGTGGCATAGTTGTTAAAGCATTGGGCTGCTAACCCAAAGGTTTGTGATTTGAACCCACCAGTGGCTCCATGAGACAAAGATGAGACAACCTGCTTCTGTAAAGATTTATAATCTTGGAAACCCTGTGAGACAGTTCTGTTCTGTCCTATAGTGTCACTAGGAGTTAGAATTGACTTGGGTTTGGGTTTACTGTTTGACTCTGGTTTTAGCTTTTATCCATGGTCTAATTCAAGATCTTATCTGTTCCCTATCAGCTATCAAAAGTGAAATGAGTCTGTTTCTGGGATCATGAGTAAATATAGGCTATGTTGTTAGTTGCTTAAGTCAATTCCAACTCATGGCAACCCCATGTGTTACAGGGTAGAACTACTCCAGAGGTTTTCTTAGCTGTAATCTTAATGGAAGCAGATTGCCAAGCCTTTTCTTCTGTCATATGGCTGGATGGTTTCAAACCACCTGCTTGCTTAAAAATTAGACGTTGTAACATACAGGTAGTAGCTCTTGTCGAACTCTTGATCAAAGCTCCCAACATAAGAGATTTTGAAGTTTTTATATATTGAAGAAAAATAAGTCTCCAAATTCTATAATGTTGGTTCTTTTTTTCAAAAGCCTTTACAATGAATGATAGAGTGATAGTGACACAGACAGGTCAGCCAACTTACCAGAGCAGCCATAGGACAGGTCATTATGATCCTATTACCTATGCTGTAGGGGAGCTCTGGTGGCATAGTGCCTAAGGCATGTGACTGCTAACCAGAAGGTTGGCAGTTCAAACCCACTAGCCACTCCTCAGAAGGGAGGTTGGACAGTCTACTTCCATTATGATACCCACTGCCATCAAGTTGAACCCGACTCATAGCAACCCCTCTGTGGGTTTCTGAGGCGGTATCACTACAGAAGTAGATTGCCCAATCTTCCTTCCAAGGAGCGGCTGGTGGGTTTGAACCGCCAGCCTTCTGGATAGCAGTCAAACGCCTTAGGCACTGTGCTACCAGAGCTCCTTCCATAGTGATACTGCCTTGGAAACCTAAGGAGGGGTCGCTGTGAGTCGGATCCGACTCTGGCAGTGAGTTTGGTTTGGTTTTTTTGGCCTGTGCTGTGTTTGTTGAATCTCATTGCTTTCTTGAATTCTTTTAGGTAAGAGTCAAATTTCTTGACTTTTGGATCGTCATAATAAAAATGAATTATAGTGATAAGTGCAGCTGTTGTACAGGGTAAGGGCTTTAAATATTGTATCTCATTCAATTAAAGAAGTTATTATTCCCACTTTATTAGGTTGAGCCCCACAAACACCAAGAGGCTTCTTAAGGACACATAGAAAATAAGTGATAGATTGAGAGTCAGACCTAGTTTTCCTCAATTTTGATGTACTTTGCTATTTTTATTACTTGTCACTGAGAATAAAGAGATTATGGCTTAAAGTTAAGATAAGTCCTAAGATTCTTTGTGAGACTCTTTGTCTATGTTGTGTGCTGTGTAACCTGAAAAAATGGAGATTATATTTCCAGGTCTGTTTTACAGGGGTGTGGTTACGATCAATGCAGTGATTTGTGTGGAATCACACAAAGTTAAAATTATGAAGTACCATACAAATGGAAGGCATTATTTTTCTCACTGGTTTCAATACTGAATTTCAGGTGCACTTCTGAAAGATCAGTTATTTACTGAAATTTGGGAAAAAAGTGATTGAAGCATTAATAAAGCTATTTGGAAAGACTTAACATCATTGTTAGGTCATAGAAAAGAACAGGGATTTGACACTATATTTGGGTCATTCTCATTCAGGATAATTAAATGGATAATTTCCTCTGGGCCCTTTGCCTTCTTGTGACTTTATTTTTTTTATTTTTTTATTTCTGTGTGCTGCCTGTTACTCATTTCATGACATTTTTTAACTTCTGCAAACGTTGGTTTTTTCATTTTCAAGATCAGTTTTTTTTTTTTTTTTTTTTTTTACTCCTTAGTCATCTCTTTTATTAACAGGCTTAAAGGTTGGGGCTAACATCCATTAGTATTAACTGTGTGAAATTGTCATTTTGGTAGGAAAAAACACTCAAGTATTGGCAATTTCAAAGGATTCAACAGGATATTATAATAGGTACTCAATATACTTGCCTGACCAACTGAATGAATTAGATTACCTTACATCAGGGAATTGTCACCTTTTTTATGTCATGTATCCTTGAAAAGAGAATGTTTTTAAGTGCTTAAAGTATATATCATTACAAAGAATACCAATTACATTTAAGTATAGTTACTGAAATATTTTTAAAAACTCAACTTGCGATGCAGTAATAAATGCTTTTTTATTAATATACTAAATAACAAGATCCTTCATTTAAAATATGGATAAGTTAAATTTTATTTTATAAAGACGATAGCAGGAGCTCTGATGGTGCTGTGGTTAAAGCCTTGGGCTATTAACCGAAAAGTTAGTTGTTTTTTTAATCCCTCCCCTCCTCTATATTTTCCACTGTAAACTTACCCCAGCCTGCCTCCCTTCTGCGGGATTTCTCAGTCCTGAATGGCTGTTCATCTGCTCTGGCTTCTGAGCCTCTCCTTAGGAACTCCACCTCCATTCTTACTCCTTGAAAGGATGGCCACAGCTTCCACTTTGGCATGGGTTTCAGCATTTATTGGCAGGTACCAGTTCATGTAGAAAGCCCAGGAAACTTCCCAGGAGCTATTTCGAAGCAGAACCTAAGGGAAACAGGCCTCCAGCACATCCAGGGTCAGGAAGGATGATTTCTCCAGCACCAGTTGCATGAGCAGAGAAATGGATTTCTGATTTCTGGTTTTCAGTTGTCAGTCTCCTGGCCTAGCTGCAGGAGTGCCACCTCCAGGGCCCCAACATATCAAAGAGGGAGGATGATGAGGCAGTCTGCTTCTATAAAGATTTATAGCTTTGGAAACTCTGGGACAGTTCTGCTCTGTCCTGTCGGGTCGCTATGAGTCAGAATTGACTTGATGGCAGTGGGTTTGGTTTTGGGGTAAAGACAATATAGCATGAGGCTGTTTTTCCTTAGTTCGCATATGATCATTAATCTGTGGGGTGGTCCTTGATTAACAGACAAGTTATAGGTGGGGAAGAGTGGGAAGAAACATAGATGACTGGCCACTAAAATGAGATGTTACCGGTTAGTAGCTGAATGATTATTAGGGGGAGAGTTGCCTAATCACTGTCCATCCTCATCACATGGTGTCTAGACAGGAAGACTATGATTACATGTGATCTTGTAGGGAGTTTAATCACTAACATAATTTACAAGTAATGATAAATGCAAATAAAATTTGAGATGTCTGCAACAACTGTAATATCATACAAAAATGTCTAATTTCACATAGAGTCACAGGTACAGAAAATGCTAATACTACTGTAGTTTGCTGCCTACATTCATAATTGAGAAATGCGAAATTTCTAGTGGAAGTTAGTGAAAATAAAGGTGTCCTTTCTCTCCTACCCCTGCTGCTGGACCTTTTGTGCTTTTTCCTTTCAAACTCTTACCGTTGATTTTTTTAAAAATTGGATTTATTTTTTGTTGAAAATACACACAGTGATACACATGCCAGTTCAACGATTCCCACATGTACAACTCAGTGACGTTGCTTATGTTCTTCAAGTTGTGCAGCCATTCTCACCCTCGCATTCCAGATCGTTTCTTCCCTCATCAACATTGACTCACCACCCCTAAGCTTCTTATCTAACTGGCCACAGTTGATTTTTGACTGTCACTTTTGTCCCATTAGCTCGTCTTGTCTATAAGACTTGTTTTAAGCATTAGGGAGTCCTAAGTCAATCATGTTTACATTTGGAGCGGTAGGCTTACATGTGATAAGTTTTAGAAGTTGGAGGCCCTAAATCATCTAAGGATGATGATTGGATTCAAAAAAGTATGTCCACAGACATCTGATAGTTCTGCTCAACTTCTTGTTGTTAGGTGCAGTTGAATCAACTCTGATTCACAGCGACCCTATGAACAACAGAACAAAACACTGTCCAGTCATTCACCTCCCCCCATCCTTGTTCTACTTGGACCCATCGTTGTAGCCCTTGTGTCACTCCATCCTGCTGAGAGTCTTCCCCTTTTTCAGGGACCCTCTGTCTTACCAACCATGATATCCTTCTCCAGGGAATGGTCCCTTCTGATCACATGAGCAAAGTAGGTGAGGCAAAGTCTGGCCATTCATGCTTCCAAGGAGCACTCTGGCTGTACTTCTTCCAGGACAGATGTGTTCGTTTCTTCTGGCAGTGCATGGTATTTTC